ATCATAGCTCACTGCAGCCTGGACCTCCCAGGCTCAAACGATCCACCTGCCTCAGCCTCCAGAGTAGCTGGGACCATAGCTGCGTGCCACCACACCTGGATAATTTTTTTAAATTTTTTTATAGAGATAGAGTCTTGCCATGTTGCCCAGGCTGGCCTAAAACTCCTGGGCTCAAGTGATCCACTTGCTTCAGCCTCCCAATGTGTTGGGATTACAGGTGTGAGTCACTGCACCAAGCCAGGATTAATTTTTTAACTACAAATAGAAATTCCAATTTTGTCTTCCCATACCAAAAGGACCATCTTGCACACCCCTAGGTGCACACCCACTTTGGAAACCACTGTTCTAAAGGAAAAACTGTGCCGCCCTCCCTAGTCCCTGCCTCAACAGGGCATCCAAACAGGAATGGATCCAGACAGCTTTGCCTTCCCACCAGGACTAAATCGAGGCCTCCGGGAAGGACCAAATTTCCTGGCCTCTTGCTCATCACGCAACCTCAAGACAGAAATTGAAGCCCCCTCCACCACTACCACTACCACTACCACCAGCCTGGCCCGCATTCGTGTCAGATTGCCTTTCTAGAGAGCAGAGCCCCAGAACCTCTCTTGGAAGCAGCATCTGTTCCTCCACCTGGCCCAACAATTGCACTTTGCCTTGCCTCTTGATTTTAGTCCGGCCACTTCCCTATTGGGGTGGGAAGTTCTGGAACCAGGCAATTTTGTGTTGAAATCCTGGCTCAACCCCATCGTATGTGTGTCTTAGGCCAGTTAAATAACCTTTCCAAGCCTCAATTTCCTCATTTGTATAATGGGGATAACAACTTTGGGAGAGGATGGAGGTAGAGGGGCTGCCACGTGCCAGGCACACACAAGGTGTTCCATAAATGCAGTTCCATTCTGGGAGTAGGTCTAGGCAGGCTCTAGCTAGGTGCCAGCGGGCTGTGGGTGGTTAGTCCTTATCTCTGGCTGTCTGATGTGTCTTGGCTGACCTCAGGTTCTCCTGCAGAAGGCAGGATCCACCCCAGGGCTTCTGGAGCTCCAGGTATCTGTTACAGACAGCATGTCCTCTTCTCGCTGCCCACACACTCTTTACTGGCACCTTGCCCACATCCCTCTGTGCCACCCACTTGTCTTTTCCTCCTCTCCCTCCAGTGCCTCCACTGAAGTGCCAAGGGCTTTGATATGGGCACCACGTGAGGGACCAGTAACAGGTGGCCCATTGCCAAAGTGGAGAAGAGCTTGCAAAAGTCGGTGCATCGGGGTGTGGGGTGCATGCCTGTAGTCCCAGCTACTCAGGAGACTGAGGCAGGAGGACCCCTTAAGCTCAGGAGCTCAAGACCAGCCTGGGCACCACAGGGATACCCCAATATCTCAGTAAGAGTAATAGTAATAGTAGTAATAATAATAATTTTTAAAAGTCAGTGCAAACTCTGGGAGTAGAGGGAGTCCAGCTAACCACCCCAATGACCCAATGTCTATTGCTGAAGCCCCCCTACAAACCAACCACAATTTGAAGTGTCCCTATAGACCCTGGACAGGGCAGAGATTGATGAAGGAGTGGGTGAGGGAGTGCAGGAAGCTTCTGGACAGCAGGAGTTGAAGAGGGGATCAAAGCACAAAGCAGACCCAGTTAGACGCCCTGGGGACCACGTGAGGCACTTGAGTTGCTCTTTGGAGACAGATTAGAGGAGTGTCCCCGCTTGAACTAGTGACCTGGAGGAGAGCTGTACATATACATACACATTGCATGTGTGCACACACATACATATACAGACACATACACACACACATATACACATACACACATACACCTACACACTCACATACACACTCAGACACACACACTCAAGTGCACACATATATAACACACACACACTCACACAGATACACACATACACCACACACACACTTATATGTACACACATACATACACGCATACACATACACACACATACACTCACAGACACTCTTGGACACACAGACACTCTTGGACACACACATACACTCACACAGACACACACTCAAATACGCACACACTCGTACACACTCTCACGTACACATACATGTACATGTATGCACACATCCTATGCTGCTTCCCTCCCCACTTGTCCTGGACCAATGCAGTGCTTACAGAGTAGATTGGAGCCCAGACAGAAGAGGGGGCTGGGGCTGTGGAGAACACTGGGTGGCCTCAGGCAAGCCACTTGTCCTGGGCTTTCCCTGCTGTTAAATGGGCAGGATAATATCCATCTTGCAGGCTCTACGACCACTGGACCACTGCCTGGGCTGATAAAAATGCTTTGTGAGCCATGATGGGGGAGCCCTGGGCACCCAGGCCGTGCCCTGGCCAGGAAAGTAATGCGGGACAGCCCACCCCAGAGCTATTCTCTGCTCCTCCCCTGCCTTGACCACCCAGCAACTCTGTCCCCAGCCCTGCTTGGCACCAACTGCCCAGGTCCAGCCTCCCCCATGTCCCACAGGGATCTTCTTGTTGTCCTCATTGGGGTTCAGCCACCCTGGGCTCACCCTGTGCACCTCTCCTCTCTGAGGTGCCTGGGGACAGAGCGGGGGACCTCCTGCCCATTCCCTGCCACCCCATAGGGGTTTCAAGCCCTCTGGCACCTCCACTTCCAGCTCCCTTCCCTGAGGTACTGGTGTGGGGAGATGTGGAACCCTGGGAAGGGGAGAAGCCACCATCCACTCCTCCCCAAAAATTGCCTTTTTCCGGGCCAGAGCCATTGTAGGGGGCTGTCCCCACCCTCACCAGTACAGACTGTAGGGGCACCCACCATCACCTAAGGCAGACTGGGAATCTGCAGTTCTTGGCAGCAGACCTCAGATAAAGAAACAAGCAAAGAGGTCAAGTAATTTGTCCAAAGGCATCACACTGGTCAGTGTAGAGCTGGGGCTTGACCCCAGGCAGTTGGCCTCAGGCTCCGCTGCAGATATTGCACCTCGCTTTGCAGGTACTACCATTACCTTCATTTTATAGATGAAGAAGCTGAAGGTCAGAAGAGTTCAATGACTTGCCCAGGATCACACAGCAAGTGAGTAGTGGAGCCACACTTAGCAGGTAAACTTAGTAAAAAGCTTAGTAAAGAGATTGACTTAGTTTTCCATCAATTATTTTTCAATTGACAAAACTGTGATAACTCACAAAAACAGCTGAACATAAACAACATGTTGATTTGACTTAAGACTATATATATATATAAAATCAGTGTTTAAAGAAATAAATTCCTGGAAACAATTTGTAATCTTTCTTGTTAATCCTTAGCTGCTCATCATGACTGAATCTAATCTCGAAGGCATCTAGACTTAAGATACCTTTACTAATGCACCCTAAATCTTTTATTAGCTTGACATCAGACACAGGACTTGAGGACAGCTTAGCAGCTCTTGACAGCAACCGGCAGGAATGCTGTAATGTGAGAGTCTTCTGGCTTTCAGAGGCCACTTTCCTCCTCCAGGGCAAAAAACTTAGCTGTTTGGCCTTGGTTTTTGCATCTGTAAAATGGGAGGTTGGGGGATAGGAACTAGATTACTAAATTCCCTTCCAAATCCATCCATCTAAAGAGACAACTTTGCACTCTGCTCATCAAAAAGATAAAAATTTTCTTCCCAACAGGGATTTCCAAGAAGTGGCCTCTTGGTAGATATTTCTTGAAATATTATTCCATTCAATAAATACCTATTCCCACCTGACTGAAGTTCTTCGAGGACAAAAATTGTATCTTAATGATCACTGTAACTCCAGTACCTTATTCAATGCTGGCCATCAAGTAGGTGCTCAGTATTTTTTAATTAATTAATTTTGAGCTGAGGTCTCAATAGGTTGCCCAGGCTTAATCTTGAACTCCTGGTCTCAAGGGATCCTCCCACCTCAGCTTCCTGAGTAGCTGGAACTACAGGTGTGCATCACCACACCTGGCTCTAGGTGCTCAGTTAATACAAGGTGCGGAATCTCTGGGGGGCAGGGCAACACAACAGTGGTTTGTAATGTTCCCCAGGTGATTCACATGTACAGCCAGGTGAGGCCTGCCAGGCAGCTACATGCAGAGAGGACCCCTGAGGCCTCTTTCCTCAGAAGGTAGCTGTGGTCATGGAGGGCACTCAGGGTGGCAAGGCCTGCTCCTGAAAAAGCCATGAAAACCCAGAGATGGAAGAGGCCATCAACGAGGGATGGCCCCAACAGTGCTTCCCAGGGCCCACCTTGCAAAAGGGGCTTCTGTTTAGTACTAAAGACATGGAGTTCAGAGAGGCTGATAACTGGCCCCCGACCACACCCAGCCAGCAGCTCCAGAGCCTCTGGTCCTCACAGTTCCTGGCATTGTATCTGAGAGTAGGGGCAGAGCTAATGCCATCACTAGGAGTCACTTTTGTCCCCTAACTTAGGGGAGACTGCCCTGTCCTTACAAAGGAATGTGTAAGCACAGCTGTTCAACATCTGCATAAGGAAAGATGTTTCTTTATGCATTTCTGGCTCCACCCAGACTTGTGACTTAACCAGTCCCGTGGCCCCCACGCAGAAGCAGACTCAGCAGTCAAGGACCATTTTGCATACCCCTATGTCTGCATGCCCAACCAATCAGGAGCACCTGTACACCTAGACCCTAGACCCTGCTCACCAAACTATCTTTGAAAAACTAATCTTCAAGTTTTGGAGGAGACTAATTTGAGTAATAACTGTTTCCTGTGTGGCCGGCCTTGTGTCAATTACTCTTTCTTTACTGCAATGCCATGGTCTCAGTGAATTGGTTTTGTCTGTGCAGCAGGCAGGAAGAACCCATCAGGTGATTACAGTACCGGCACCCCCAACCAGCTTTGGGAAGAATCCAGCCAAAAAGCTTGAGGCCTGCAGCCTCAGGGTGAGAACAAGACAAAAGGGGGATGGAGGGAGATAGACTCGCTGTGTCTCAGCTCCAGAGCAGCCCCCCAAGCTTCCCAAAGGTTTGAATCCTTCCAAGCGTTTACGCAAATCATCAAAGGGATTCCTTGAGGCAAAAGGTTTGAGTCTGCAGTTCTGAGACCCCCAAGGATGTGAGGAGAGACCCAGGCCTATCTCCTTTGGGAGGGGCCCCAAACTTGGGGGAAGGGGTGCTGGATGCCAGCTGAAACCCAAACATAAAATTCTAAACTCACACAACCATCTAAATGGACTCCTCCTCTCCTCTCAGCAAAGGGCATTCCAAAGTTAACCTGAAAACTAGTTCAGGCCATGATGGGAAGGGGGGCCCAGCCATGCCTAATTATACCATCCCTCCTTTTGGACTTACTGATAGAACAGACTCTTTAAGTCTGATAAGAAACATTTACAGTCTATTCTCTCTGAAGCCTGTCACCTGGAGGTTTCACCTGCATGATAAAACCTTGGTCTCAACAATCCCTTATCTTAACCCAAACATTCCTTTCTGTTGATTTTAAATCTTTAGACAATAATGTAACTCTTTCCACAATTGCCAATCAGAAAATCTTTGGATCTACTTATGACCTGGAAGTCCTCCGCTTCCCCAACCCCATTACAGTTGTCCAGCCTTTCCAGACCAAACCACTCTACATGTCACATATATTATTGATGTACTATGTTTCCCTGAAACATGTAAAACTAAGTTGTGGCCTGATCACCTTGGGCACATGTTCTCAGGATCACCTGAAGACTGTCATGGGCCATTGGTCATGCATAGTTGGCTCAAAATAAATCCCTTCAAATATTTTACAGAGTTTGACTCTTTTGGTTGACACACCAAGCTCAAGCAGGAAGAACCGGGCTCAAGAACTGTCTCTCTCCTTTCTCTCTGTTAGGCATGGGTGGGGAAGGGAGTGTGGTGTTAGGCATGGGGGGAAGGGAGTGTGGTGTTAGGCATGGGGGGAAGGGAGTGTGGTGTTAGGCATGGGGGAAGGGAGTGTGGTGTTAGGCATGGGGGAAGGGAGTGTTGTGTTACGCATGGGGGGAAGGGAGTGGGGCTGTGTGCAGAGGAAGACGTGCTTCTTACCTTGTCAGGGTCCCTGACCTGATGGCGACCTGTGGCGGGGTCTTCATAGTGACAGACACCACTGCAAGGGCAGACCGAGTGTGCAACCCCCAAAGCAGGGCTCCTCATGGGATAGATAGACTATTGGCCCCATTCCTCATCCCTACGTGCACCCACCGCTTGCCATGGTTTCCTTGTGGGTGGGGGGTACTTTCCCGCCCCCTGACTTCAGGCTTGCCCACGTGGCTTGCACTAGCCATGGAATGAAGCAGAAACGAAAGCCTGCCAATTCCAAGCCCACGCCTGAAGATGCCTTAGGCCCTTCCGCGGGCCCCGTGCGCTTCCACCTTCATCCAGAAGGCCTTTCTGGTGCAGTCGCTGCTTCTTCAGCCTCGGCCCAGAAAGAACGCAGCCCCCTGGCCGATCCGCAGGCCTTCAGGGAGCCGCAGAGCGCAGCGGCCGGCCCAGCGTTGAAGCCCAAGCCTGCGAAAACCTTATTACAGCCGCCGTTTGGGATGGTTGATTAGGACGCGCGTTGCTGTGGCGGTAGCTCACCAACCCAATGCGTGCACCCGCTCCTTTATTAGGCTATAGGGCCAGTGGCTGCGACAGGGACCTGATACAACAGTGCGTTAAATAAGGAGATATTGAGCTCTCATGTCGTAAGTCGGTGGAGAAGTCCAGGGCTAGTGTTGGGGCTCCGGCGGGGACTGTGGCCCCATCCGCGTGGAACCTCCTCGCGGTTCGCAGGTCGCGGTCTTCGGAGCCTTCAGCCCTGCGAGCCGGAACAGTCCACAGGGCGGCGCCAGACCCTCTTCCCAACGCCATTCTTTAAAACCTCGGCTCCAACCGGTTCCACTTCTGCTTCAGGCTCAGGATTTTCGCTCTTCTGGAATGGGAGTGGCCCTCCCCTGATCTTCTGGGTAGCAACAGCATCTCCCTTCCTCCAGGATCTCAGAGCCAGAGCTGGGCGAGAGGTCCTGACCTCCGGGATAGGGGTGGCAGTGTCCCTGTGAAGGTGCGGTCCTGCCTCCCATCCCCAGGCTCCCGGCCTCTCCCACCCTCAGCACCCTGTTCACCTCCAGCTGAAGACGCCAGGGCACCTCTGCTTCCTCCCTGCCCTCTCTGCAGTACCGCAGAGTGAGCATAAAAGGGCTTAATATAGGCTTCACCTGTCGTGGTGGCTCGCGCCTGTAATCTCAGTAACTTGGGAGGCCAAGGCCAGAGGATCACTTGAGGCCAGGAGTTCAAAACCAGCCTGGGCAACAAGGTGAGACCCATCTCTACAAAAGAAAATAAATAAAATAGGTCCCTTTTTCTGGGAGATTGATGTAGGGAAGCAAGCGTGTGAGTTGGAAGGGAGGCATTGAGGATCAGCCATTTAAAGCAGCATACAAGGATGTTCAAGGCTAGAGATCCACAGGTGTATTTTCAGAAACTGAATTTCCTGGCCAGGTGTGGTGGCTCAAGCCTGTAATCCCAACACTTTGGGAGGCCAAGGCGGGAGGATCACTTGAAGTCAGGAGTTCAAGACCAGCCTGGCCAACATGGTGAAATCCTGTTTCTACAAAAAAATAAAATAAAAATCAGCGGGGTATGGTGGTGGGTGCCTGTAATCCAAGCTACTTGGGA